TCTGAGATCTCATATCTGATCCATAAATTGCAGGCAGAGAATGACACTGGGCCTGGAGTGGGCCTTTGAAATCTCAAAGCCCACCGACAGTGACACACCTCCTCTAACACCTCTTAGGCCTTCCCAAACAGTTCCACTAATTAGGGACCAAACCCTGAAATATATGAGGCTATGGGGGCCATTCTCATTCAAACCATCATAACTAGTGTGTCCAAGGCTCTAGGTTCAAAATCTAGCACCAGCGAAAACAGACACAAAGAAGTGAGTGGGTGAGGCATGTGCACTGTCATTTATAAACCAATATTTCAGGAAAATCAATGATAAGTAGGACATAGATCCATCTTATCTAGCTTAAGATAATGAAGATAATACACTAAATCCTCAAAAATGTTTATTGAGTGAAATAAATATATGTGATAGATGATGAAGAGTAGGATAAAAGAAAAAACACCTAGAATTAATATAATTATGATAGTTATGAGAGAAGCTTGAATAAGGATGGTGGTCATGGGGCTGCAGAGATGGCTCAGAGGTTAAGCCCACACACTGCTCTTCCTGAGGACCTGAGTTCAATTCCCAGTACCCACATCAGGTATCAGGTGGCTTACAACTACCTATTGTTACAAATCCTTACAACTCCTCACACATGCCGGGCAGTGATGGCACATGCCTTTAATCCCAGCACTTGGGAGCCAGAGGCAGGCAGATTTCTGTGAGTTCGAGACCAACCTGGTCTACAAGAGCTAGTTCCAGGACAGCCTCCAAAGCCACAGAGAAACCCTGTCTAAAAAAGCCAAAAAAAAAAAAAAAAAAAAAAAAAAAAAAAAAACCAAAAACCCTCATACCTGACCTCTGTAGACACACACATGCACATAATGAAAATAAATCTTGGGCTGGAGAGAAGGATGGCTCAGCGGTTAAGAGCACTGACTGTTCTTCCAGAGGTCCTGAGTTCAATTCCCAGCAACCATCTGGTGCCCTCTGCTGGCATGCGGGCAGAAGACTGTATACATAATAAATAAAATCTTTAAAACAACAACAAAAAAAAAGTCTTCAGAATCGCCTGGAAAAAAAAAAGAAAATAAATCTTTTTTTGAAAAAAAAAAAAGGAATGGTGGTCATTAGGGATGTTTGACAATAAAAAGAAGGGGAAAGTTAGTCGAATAGATCAAGAGAATAGTAGGACTTTGGCAAAAAACAAACCAACGTAAAAACTGGGAATATTTAAATGTTTGTGTTTGGGATTGCTTTTCTTTCTTTTTTATTTATATATCTTATTCTGTGTATACCATGTGTGGAAATCAGAGGAAAACTAGCAAGTCAGTTTTCCACTTTCTACCATGTAGGTCCAGGGAATAAAAAACAGGTTATCAGTCTTGGTAGCAAGCACCTTTATCCAATCATGGGCCCTACTTTTGTTTGTTTTTGAGACAAGGGCTCTCTGTCTCTGTTTCCCCATAACCTTGGCTATCCTGGAACTCACTGTGTAGACCAAGCTGTTTGCAGACTCACAGAGATTGGCCTGTCTCTTCAGGGCATCTGCCACCACACCTGACATGCCTCACTGTTTGTTTGTTTATTTGTTTTGGTTTTTTGAAACAGGGTCTCTCTGTGTAGCCCTGGCTGTCCTGGAACTAGCTCTATAGACCAGAGATTGGTCTGCCTCTGCCTCTGCTAGAATTAAGGGTGTGTGTGCGCCACCACTGCCCTAAGCACTGCTGTTTTTAGCCTTATAGCCTAAATTCCCAAAGAGTGAATCTTCTTGTCCCTAGAAGTAAGAAAGGAAGAGAGTCCTGAGGCAGTAGGGACAGATGTCAGCTGGCCACCGGACAGGGCTTAGATTACAAGGATCCAGAGGCATCGATGGAATTAGCCTTCCCAAGCAAGTGGGACAAGCAGGGCAATCTATTGACACCAAAATGACAAGAGAAAGGGATTTTAAAGGAAAGGGAGATTATGAGAGGGAGGAAGAGCAATTTAAGTTTAAATATCTCTAAGCACTGGGCACAGTTCGGTGACAACAGCACAAGCCTAGGATGTGCAAGGCCCAGCACTGCACAAAAATAACCAAAAAGAGGAACTCCAGTGGTGGCTCAGCAGTTAAAAGTGGGTACTGCCCTCACAGAGGAACTGAGTTTGGTTCCCAGTGGCCATGTATGGTGATTCCTGATCCCCTCACTGCTCCAGGGGAATCTGATGCCTTTGGCCTTCTCAGGATCTTTCACTCATGTTCGAATACCACACAGAGACAAATGCTCTACATGTATTTAAAAATAGTAACAATAAACCTAAAGAAAAGGTTGGGGTTATGGTGGTACACACCTTTAATTACAACACTCAGGAGTCAAAGAGTTCAAGGCGAGCCTGGTGTATACATGGAATTCCAGGGCAGCCAAGACTATATAGACCGTGTCTCAAAAACAACAAACAAACAAAAACCCAACACCAAAAACATCTCTAAGCTATAGCTCTCTCTCTCTCTCTCTCTCTCTCTCTCTCTCTCTCTCTCTGATGCTCAAAACTTTTCTTTTTTGGTTTCCCAAGACAGGGTCTATCTGTGCAGCCCTGGCTGTTCTGGAACTTGCTCTGTAGAC